AAATTAATTAAAAAGTCATCTTTTCTACACAGTAGTTACACCACAGTAACAAGACACAAAAACAATGCTGGTTGATTATAGCATGCTTTTCCCGCAAAATCTGAAACTCTTAAACAAAATCAATCTCCAAAATCACGCCTAATACACAAGAGACAGAGGCTGAGCCTTGATAATAAATAAAATGTAGAAACTTCATAAAACCACCCTCCAGAAACTCAAAAGAGACAAAAGACTCTTACTAGCTATAAGTCAAAGGTACAAAGAGCAATAAAGAAATTAACTGAAATACTTCTGGAAAACACGAAGCTGTAGGGATATCTGAGTATTACCAATTTGTGGGAGTCAGATAAGATTAACAGTAGAAAAAGAAAACACTCGGGGCCAGCAGGCGGCATGGTGGCTGGGGCACTGGACTGACTCCCACAATGCCAGCCGTGGCCTGCCTCTCTCTCTATCTCTCACGACAGACGCAACAAGACAACATGGTGGCTGGGGCACTGGACTGACTCCCACAATGCCAGCCGTGGCCTGCCTCTCTCTCTCTCTCTCTCTCTGGTCAAATGAAGAATAACAATAAGTAAATAAAATTAAATAAACAATTCTCCAAGAAAGCCTCAGGTATTCATTGGGTAGGGGTCTGTAAACAAGCATTTGCTTCCACATACAAGTAGAGCCACTCTGCAGAACCATGAAGACGAACCACAGCCCCCCTCAACACACCCAGAAGATTTTCATTGGGATTCCCCAATCAGTTATCTCCTGGTATTCTCTTCTGCTGCGGCTTAGCCTAGTGCCTTATAGAAAGTCCTTCAAAACGTGAGTTACTATTTTTATCATTTTATCACTAGACAGAAGATAGTACTAGTACCATGGATAAAGGTTACTTGAAAACCACAATCTACGAAATTTCCCAAGTCAGTTCGCCAATCTCTTAGTACCTGAAGGGAAGAACTACGTACTCACCAGAATCACCCTTCCTCGGGTCTCTTATCTTTGATACCTCTTCCAGGGTCCCCATACAGCTCTGCAGAATGGATCTTGAAATGTGACGGCCTAAGGAGAGTCTGAGATGCCTCAGAGCCCTGTCCCCTCCTTGGACCTAGAGCCCCACCCTCTCATGGCTCGCATCTACTCTAGCAGTGGCTCCTCATAACTCACTGAGTCTGGTTTGAAGAATACATTCACTTGAACAAAATCGATTTCCATTTAAGCCGTTACAGTCATGTTTGTCCTAACTAACAAAAGGAATCACTTCAAAGCAGTAGAGTAGAAAGCGTATTTCTGTTCTTAAAAATAGAGGAATTGTCAAAGAAATTATTCTACTGGGTCATTAATCTGCCTCACACATTTACAGAGGAGTCCCTGATGTGGGGGCATGTTAACCATGGTCCTGTATTTGGATAACATATACTTCCAACCAGGAACTCAAAATTCTTAGGCCTACCAAACACTGATGGGCTGTAAAGAGGAACAGCCACTTACTTGCATTATCTAATGAGCTTAAAAACATCCATTTCAGGGACCAGCAGTTGGCGTAATGGCTATGTCACTGGACTTCCATGTAGTCGACCACGGTTTGAGTCCTGGACTCAGTGGCTTAAACTCACACCAGGCACGTGTGCGTGTGTGCCCAAGATCCCAAGAGGAGAAGGGGTTACAGCATGGCCATACCCCCGGGGGGTGATTTCTCGCTTTCTGTCTCTCTTGTCTTTCTTTCTGGCAAGAGCACGTGCCCTATAGCAAAAACCTCTCCCCTCCGCAAAAAAAAAAAAAAAAAATCCGTTTCAGGCCCAGCCATGGTAGTGCACAAGTAGGCACAGCACCAACACTTGGGAGGCTGGAGGCAGCATGGGAGGTCCAGGTTCAGTTCCTGGGCATGGCTACATATGTCTATAATCCTAGTTAACTGGCAGTCCACTGCAAACGTATAGCAACGTCTGTCAGAAATAATAATACTACCTAGCTCTCTCCCTTTTCCTCTCTTACATAAAGGGAAAAGAAAGAATATCCATTTCATAAACTCTGTGCTTAGGGCCCAGCAGGTTGCATGGTGGTTAAGGTGCTGGAACTCCCACATGGCTAACCACGGTTCAAGTCCCGAACTTGGTGGCTTGCTTTTTACCTCTCTCTCTCTTTCTCTTCCTCTGGCAAAACTCATGTGAAAAAATAATAAATAAAATAATTTTTTAAAAAAAACTTTAAAAAAAAGCCCTGTGCTTATATCTTAGGGTACTTGTAAAAGAATGTTCACAGCTGCGTTATAGCCAAAAACTGTAAGCAGTATAGACAGACATTAATAGTGAGATGGATAAATTATGATATATTCATATGACAAAATACCACATAGAATAAATGGCAATGGTGAGGCCAGCAGATGGCGTGGTGGTTAAGGGTGCTGGACTCTCACATGGCTAACAATGGTTCAAGTCTCAGACCTGGCAGCTTGCCTTCTCACTCTTTCTCGCTTGCTCTCTCGCTCTCTCTCTCTCTCACTCAGTCCTTCTCTAGTCAAGTTAAAATCAATAAATAAAGTTAAAACAAAAATAATTCTGAAAAAAAAAAAAGAAAGAAAGAAAAGACATGGCAATGGGTCCAGCAGTGGCACAGGGATTAAGGTGATTGAATCCCACAAGGCCAACTGGTTCGGGTTCCAGACTTGATGGGTTGAAAAACATGCTGGGCACATGGGCGTGGGTGCCCAAAATCCCAAGAGGAAAATGGAGAAGAAACTGTGGCTTGGCCATCTCCCCTGGGGGATGATTTCTCACTCACTTTTCCACTTTTCCTCTCTCGCACACACTTCTATAGCAAAACTTTAAAAAAAAAAAAAAAGAACAAAATGAGAATGAACTACAGCTGCAGTAAACATGGACAGAAACACAATGCTAAAAGAAGGAAGAAAAGGGGCTAGCAGGTGACATAGTGGTTGAGGCGCTGGATCCTACATGGCCAACCGCAGTTCGAGTCCCAGATCCAAGGGCGTGAAACTCATACCAGGCACATGTGCATGCTTGCCCAAAATCCCAAGAGGAGAATGGAGGAGAAAGGACTGCAGCCTGGCTATCCTCCCTAGGGGGGTGACTTCTCACTTTCTCTGTCTCTCCAGCAAGCTCACGGCACCCTACAGCAGAAATCTCTCTCTAAAAAGACAGACAAACAAAAACAGCATGATTCCATATATATAAAATTCAAAAGCAAACAAAACTATGTTGGTAACAGACACAAAAGTAGTAACTATAAAAAGAAAAACAATGATTATCACAAAAATCAGAACAGTAGTTGTCTATGAGAATTGAGAAGCTATGACCAAGAAAATACCTATAAAGGATTCAAGGGTGCTGGTGTTGTTTTACTTCCTAATGAAGTAGTAGCTACACTGGGATTCACTTTATAATTTTGTATTAAATTGTTTACAGATCACCTGAATTTATTTTTAATTTTTTAAATTATTTATTTTAATTTTATTTACTCATTCATATATTTTGACCAAGAGAGAGAGCAAGTGAGAAAGCAAGCCAGCAAGTCTGAGACTTGAACTGTGGTCGGCCATGTAGGTGTGTCTAGAGCCTTAACCACCACACCACCTCCTGGTCCCATCACCTGAATTTTTATACACAAATACATACTCAAACATTTTAAAAAACATCAGCTCCGTCAGTTTTTTCCCTGGCCTGAAGAGTGAGACCAAAGGACCATTTCTTTCCTTCTTTCAACAAAACTAGAAATTTCTCAAATTACTTCATGCAGCCACTTCAGTATAGCAACAGAAATCACAATCAAATATGACAATGGGGGGGGGAGGGGACAAAAGAAGCATGTAAGTGAAGTCAGAAGAGGACTTAAAATATCTAAAACAAAATGCAAGACAACAAGGTAACGGAAAAGAATAGAAGTTCATTCAGGAACACCTCATTCTGAAGCTAACTCAGAAATAAAAACCCAAACAGATAAAGAGTAGCCATTTAAAAATAAAAAGCAAAACAAGCCAGAAGCATGGCACATTAAGTACAAACCACAACTAATTAAACTAAAAGCAAGCATGCAAGCCCAAAAGAAGACATCCTTGAATCTGAAGTTGCCATAAAGGACAGTCAAACCCAGAGCCCCCAACTCTGGTTACTTTTTCGGAGCAATTCAAATTTACAAGAAAATCCAGCCTCTATTTGATCTTTGTTCCATCATTTGTGTAAGTGGCACCATGAGCTGGAAAGGAGGTGTGGACCTGAGAGGTTCATGGAGAGTACACAATTCATCACAGAAGACTAAAAGTAGGACGTTTAGTGGATAAATCATAGTTGATGAGCTTACAGAAACATTTTAAAACTCCAATTTGAAAGGATCTCAAACTCGATACGGCACTTAAAAAATAAAGATAACCCAGAGCCAGCAGGTGGTGTGGTTGTTAAGGCACTGGATTCCACATGGCCAACCGCAGTTCGATTCCCAGACCTGGAAGCTTGAAAACCACGCAGCGTAACTGTGCGTGCCTGCCCAAAATCCTAACAGGTTGCGTAACTGTGCGTGCCTGCCCAAAATCCTAATAGGCGAATAAAGAAGGGACTGCAGCATGGCCATCCTCCTGGGGGGCTGATTTCTCACCTTCCCCCTCCACTGTCTCTGGTGAAAGCACAAGCTCTCTGGCAAAAACTTAAAAAAATAAATAAATAAATAAAAAAGATAATCCAAAACAAGCAGGCCTAAAAGGTATACATGTATCCTAGATAAACTTGAGTGCTTTTCTGAAGCCATTCAGGTCCTTAGAAAAGCTGGTGCCTTGCTAAAGCCTGCAAGCCGCACTGACTGACTTTCAAGAGAGAACTGTCCAAGCAGCAAAGTGTGGCTGGATTCAAAGATGCGGCTCTCCCACATCTTGGCTTTTCCAGCACCTAGGAGTTTCTGGCACATAGCACCCAGAATGACTGACAGAATCTGCAATGTTTCAACACTACCAGAAAGAACTGTGCACACAAACTTCCAGCATATGAACGATTGTAACTCACCAGTCACCATGTTGCATGTATTTCTGCTGCTTGTCCTGAGTTCTTAAGACTTCTAATATTCTGAAGAAGATAGAACAAAGAAGTTCCTTCCATCCTCAGCCTCTTTTTAATTTTTAACTTTGTTCTTTAAAAAATACAGTATATTAAAACTACCCCCATAATGATCGAATTTCATGGCTAGTTTTACTTCTTAGCTTGCTTTTCCTTAAAGATTCTAAAACACAAACTAACAGTTTTTATATCTTAGGGGGAAAAAAAGAGATGCACATTTCTCTAGGTCAAACCTAGAACTTCCTTGGCACCAGAGCACAGCGCTGGGATGAAAAAACAAGAGCTGAGAAGGATTGAAATCCTTCATCCAAAGTAACTTTTACAGTGATACATAGCCGATTTTAGAAATGTCTGCGGGAAATTTTTGGAATTAAAAGGAAATATAAATGCAAAGCGCTGATTTTCCCATTTGTTCAGTTTTGTTCTAGGCAACTTTTTGGCTAAGGCCAACAGCAGGGCTTTGGTCTAATAGACTGAAGCCCTTCCACCTGCTCAAAAGAAACGGCTGCATTTAAGTGACATTTTAGAGGTCCAAGAGTTCCACATTGTCCACCTCAGAGGATTGATCCCCGTCCAAAGCGCAGAGGCAACGGGTATGAATTGCGCATATGGGAAGAACTAGGTTCTAATAAAGGAATGCGGGAACTAACGGGTCTTCCAATGTTAACCTTTGCTTTTCCTCCCCGGCACAAAGCACCCGGTACAGGGTGAGAAAACCTGGGGCCCCCTGCCCTCGCAGGCCAATGGGGCTCGTTTTTGGAAGCAGGGCAGCACCTTTCCCAAGCACCCACCCGGCACAGGGACCTAGAGTAATCGCATTCTTCGAGGAGAACGAGCAATCTCGCCCGCCTTGCAGAGAAGCGGAGCTGCGAGCCAGACAGCAAAGCCGGTTGGTTTTTCCCCAGGGCTAGGCCCGGGTTGCCCAGGGACGTCACCGCAGCAGGAAGGGCCCAGCCCGCAACCTTCCCCGCGCACCCGCCCCCCCGCCGGCCGCCCCCTTCGGCTCCGCAGGGGCGTCCCGCGCGCTCTCGAAGCGGCACCGCCACCCAACAGCAGGGCGCGCGCCCCAAAAATGGGGGTCGAGGGCGGGCGCGCGCCCCGGAAAGCCGCTCTTGCCCACGGGCCACACAGCTCCGGTGGCCGAGATCGCTGGGCGGGGGCGCGCACGTCGGCGGCCACGCGCACCGGGA